CCCAGTCCAGATGAGCTCACTGCACACACCTCTGTTCCTGTTGTTGCCCCTGCCTGGCCTGTCTTCCCCTGGATCCTGCGCACACAGGCTCACCCTACAGGACTCTGCTAACTCCTTGACCTTCAAGCCACCTTCCCTGGTGGCTGTGGCTCCCGTCAATCATTAATTCGGTCTCTCAGTGTTCCCTTATAACACAGCAACACACTTAGGATAAAAGCCAGGGTGCTTCTAGTGGCCCACCTGACCACCCAGCCTGGCCCCCACCTAGCCCTTCAGCTTCTCTCCTCCACTGGGGTCCCTGCCTCTGCCCAGTCGCACCAGCCTCCCTGTAGTCCCCAAATCCTTGCAGTGCATTTTCTGTTGTCCTTCTCTGGATCTCCACTCTGCTCACCCTGCCCTTTGTTCTATCCCCACGTCACCTCCTTAGAGAGCCCTTCCCCACCACCCCATTAAATCTGACTCAGTGCCCTTGAACTCTCTATCCTAAGGCCAATTCCAATTCTTCCAAAGCCCTTGTGTTTGCTTGAAATCCACTAAGTGTTTGGTTAGCTGCTGAGCTGGTTGTCTGCCTTCTTCATGAGAAGGCAAGTTCTACAAGGGCAAAAAACTCGGCGTGTCCACAGCTGTTCCCCTCACTTCTGAAACAGTGTCTGGCCCATAGGGGGCCCTGTGCAAATAAATCAATAAGTGAACAGTTGCAATGAAACGACATCTCAGAATTAGAAGGAGCTAGGATGCCCCTAGTGTGTGTGAGGCGGATCTTATTCGTGGAGTCCCTGTCTGTGTAAACAATCTGAGTCAATCAAAATCAGGCTGTCAGCAGCATCCCATGATGTAATCACATGCCAACCTACAGAAAAAATACCTAATAATGAACAATCTGAAATGAAATGAAGGAAACAATTCTGCTGACAATAGTGTCAAAAAGAATTCTTAGGAATACATTTAGCAAAAGACGTGCAAGATTTATCCTCTGACAACTAAGAGACAGTTGAAGGAAATCAAAGGTCTAAAAGAAATTATTTGGGAAGATATCATAGGCTCATGGATCAGAAGACCTCATATTGTTAAGGTGGAAATACTCCCAAATTGATCTACAGATTCAATGCAAATGCTATCAAAATTTCAGCTGGCTTTCTTTTTTTTTTCAGAAATGGACAAGCTGGTCCTAAGATTCTAAATGAATTTCTAAATGAATTCAAGGGACCTAGAATAACCAAAGTTGGAGGACTTGCACTTCCTGATTTCAAAACTTACTTCCAAGTTACAGTAATCAAGACAGTGTGGTACTGGCATAAGAACAAACATGTAGATTAATTGAATCAAATTAAGAATCCAGAAATAAATCTTCACATTTACAGTCAATTCATCTTTGGCAATGGTGCCAAAGCAATTCAATGGGGGAAATAATAGTCTTTGCAACAAGATGGTGCTGGGACAACATAGAAAAGAGTGAAGTTGGAGCCCCACATCATGCCATATGCAAAAATCACCAAAAAGTGGATCAAAACCCAAATATAAAAGCTAAAAATATAAAACTCTTAGAAGAAAATATGGGGTAAACTTTCATGATGGTGGATTGGACAATGGTTTCTTAGATGTCACCCCAAGTGTGCAAAGCAATAAAATTAAAAATTGAAAAATTGGACTTCACAAAAATGCAAAACTTTTGTGCTTCAAAGAATATCATCAACAAAGTAAAAAGACAACCCACTAAATAGGTGTAAAATATGCAAATCACACATTGGATAAAGGACTTGTATGTAGCATACATAAAGAACTCTTATAACTCAATAATAAAATGACAAATATCCAACTTCTGATGGTCAAAGGATCTGAATGGACATAGCTCCAAGAAAGACATACAAAGGTCAACAAACACATAATAAGATGCTTACTATCATTATAGGAAAATATAAATCAAGATCATAATGAAACATAATTTCACACCCACTAGTATAGCTAGAATCAAAAGGTCAAATAACAATAGGTGGGAAGGGTTCAGAAAAAATAGAACCCTGATCCACTCCTGACAGAAGAAGAAAATGGTACTGTGGCTTTGGAAAACAGAGTCTGACAGTTCCTCAAATGATTAACATAGAGTTAACATCTGACCCAGCAATTCCACTCCTAGGTATATACTCAAGAGAAACGAAAATGGGTCTACATAAAAACACCAGAGGAAATAAATCAACAATATTATTCATTATAGCCAAAAGGTGGGAACAACTCAAAGTTCCATCAATAGACAGATGAATAAACAGAACGTGAAATTCCTGCAGTTGAACACTCTCTGCCACAGAAAGAAATGGAGTGCTGATTCATGTTACCACAGGGGTGAACCATGAAAACATACTAAGTGAGAGAGATTGGTCACAAAAGATCAATATTGTATGATTCCATGCATCTAAAACGTCCACAACATGCAACTCAAGACTCAGATGAGAAAGAATATAGATTCATATTTGCTTGGCCAGGGACATAGGTACAGGGAAGTGGCTAAAGGGTATAGGATTTCTTTGGGGGTGATGGAAGTGTCTTAGACTTGATTTGGGTCATGGGCACAAGCCAGGCTTGTCCAGGACTAAGGACAGGAGCATACAGAGAGTTCTAGTACAAGCTGGCCAATCTCCTGTGGCCAATGCAATTGATTGCAGAGTCCACCTGGAGCCCATGTCAAGCAACACTGCAAAGGAGTGTCCACACTCTAGTGGAAAGCGTATCAGACCTCCAGTAATGTCTGCTAGAGACAGGAAGTGCTGATACACAAACCAAGCATTTGCCAACTATGATCAGGTTCCCCCATTCCCTGCACAAACAAAAAAGTAAGCCCATTGGCGGAGGGGAATGGCCAGTGGCTAGATTCCAGGGGGATGGGATGCAGTCTTGGCCTGACACCTGCAGCCCGCAGCAATCTGGCCATGCTTACCTCTCCAGCCTTGCTTCTCATCATGCCCCATCCTTGTCCGTGCTGTAGCCAGTGTGTTCCCAGAAGTACCTGGACCATGCCGTGTGGCCCAGTGTGGCAGCACTGAGGTTTGGACCCCACCCTGTGTCTTCCACAAACCTATCCTCATCAAAGCCCTCAACAGCCCCAGGAGAGGGGGGTGTTATCCCCACGGGAGGGATGATAGCACCCAGGTGCTCAGAGGCACCGCCTGGCCCAGATCCACAGCAAAGCCAGGATTCCAAACCAGGAGAGGGGGCTTCAGTGCCTGTGCTCAACCCACAGCCCCAGGAGGTCTCCAAGGAAAGAACAGCTTCTCTTGCCCTCTCTCCAGTCCCAGCACACACGAACAAAACTGATGCAGGAAAGAACACTGTGAGCAAAACCCTGGAGCTCCTCAAGGTCACATCACCCTTGATCCATAAGCTCCTGCACTTCACTCCATGACTTCAGGGGTCACCCTTCTAGACCCACCCCCAGTGACTGTCCAGTTCTTTTTCTTTCTTGCATAGCTAATGATCTAGGGAGAACCCACTGATATCATCATTTCTGCTGCTTCTCCGATCTCACGTTTGTCACCTCTCCGACGTCATGAGCGGGTCCTCTGGCAAGCCCAGGGGATGCTCTTTGAAGACTCATCCAGGACTTCTCTGTGGTAAGGCACCCAGGCCCTCCTCTGTCTCCAAACTCACTCTCCCTTTGACTCCTTAGCAAATGCTGTCTGTGGCCCAGTTTCCTCACCTGGCTCTTCCAGTTTCAGCACAGCAGAGGGCAGCTGTGTACCTGCTGCCACTTTCACAGCCGGTGCCCTGAAGGGAGTCCACCTCTGTGCCTCGAGGGTCCTCTAAGCCAGAACCCTTGGCTTACATGAAGGCAAGGCCAAAACTTGGAGGGTTAATACTCCCAGGGGCAACTGGCAACCAGATGGGAGATGGGAGCTAGAGGGTGAATGGCCATCTTTGGGAGGAAGAATTCTATGGTATGTTCTCCACAGTTCCCTAAAGAGTGCTGGTGGACTTAAGCCCCAGTGGCCATGCAGTGTGCACCCTTTCTTGACCTGCCCTTCCTACCCTCTCTAGTTTTAGGGATCAACTTGCACTTACCCCAGTCCTTCATAGGCTCTACTGTGGGGTGCCCATCACCATCTCATCTTCCTTCCCTTCAACACATTCATTTCCCATCTCTTCGTAGAATGCTCCCCTGGCTGCCGCTCCTCCACCCAACCCTGCCTGTGCCCTTCCACCAACCTTCAACACATTCATTTCCCATCTCTTCGTAGAATGCTCCCCTGGCTGCCGCTCCTCCACCCAACCCTGCCTGTGCCCTTCCACCAACCCGCCTATGTCACACTGGTCCCTTCTTGTGTCCATGCAGCACTTCCCACCCGCAGCACTGTTCCCTCTGTTCCTTGACCACCTCTCCCATGAGCCCAACTGTCCCCCACAACTGACAACTGCCACCTACCCCAGCAGGATTGGGGTAGGATTTAGATCCTAAAGGCCATGACTTTCCACGCACGGAGCTGGTGGATCCTGTGGGCTCACCAGAGAGATGGGAACTGAGCTACTTTCTGCACCCACTTCCGTCCCAGCCTTGCTCGGCTCTAGCTGAATTTGTAAACATCCGAGTCTCTTTAGGAGGTGGGAAGCAGGCAGGGAGCCAAGGAGAGCATCTGCCTTCTGTTCCAGGTCAGCACCGGAGACGTGCAGCTCCCCCCCACACACACCTTCACGTGGGATTGACCAGACTATCAGAGGGAGGCCAATGGCCAGCCAGACGGCATCGGTGACTTGTGAGGTCCAAGATGATCCAGGGACAGCCATGGGCCCAACAAAGTGCAGTGACCTCCATCTAAGTCGAGGGGAAAAGCCCAACTCGGAGAATATCTGCCAACCCGCTCTCCACCAGGCCCTGAGCTGGTTCCTGAAGGGAAAAGAACCTTCCCCAAGCAGGTCCCCGTCCTCAGGTGGGGCTCAATCTAGTGGGAATGTATACTTAATTCCAGTCCCTGACTTCCGGCGCCCAAGTTCTAATCAAGAAAAAGCACAGTCAATAAGAAGATTAGCTAACGTTTATTGAGGGCTTACTCAATATGCCAGGGTTTCCTGAGCATTGTGAAAGCATTGAATTATTTACTTACCACAGTAACCCTGGGTGGCATGCTGGGGCCGGCTCCTAGCTGCTCACGAGAGCCAGTTGTTAAATTTTCAGGAATTTTACAAGCAGGGTGTTAAATACAGCTATTATTTTAAAAAAATTAAATTACATAAAGTCACAATTAAATAAATCATTGTAAAAAAACAAAAGTAATAAATTCTCAAGAGTTCATCGCTTCCCAATGATCTCACCGCCTGCTATTGTTCCCCGGGTCCTGAGGCCGTCAGCGTCAACCTCGTCTGCCTGGTGGAAACACTACACAATGGTGGCCCCCCTGAGTGTCTCTTCCAGGATCTGTGTCTGGTGACGTCATGGTGGAAATGGACAGAGGCGACAACCAGGGCTTGATTTCTGTGTTGTGGTGGGTTTTCCTAGACGCAAGAAAATAATGGAGAAAATACTTGTCATCCAATTCAACCAAGTCGATTCATGCCTTTGACAAACGAGCGACACTGGTTCCTTGGCCCCTGCTTCTTCATTTTTTAAAGTTACTCAAGGTAAACAAAAGTCCCAACCAACTTCCAGGCAGGAACTGCACCCAGAGAGCCTGCTACTAAACACTTACAACGGACATGCAGTGCCTCTTGGGTGGGTGCCTCTTGGGTGGGTGCCTGTTGGGTGGGCCTGATTCTTCAGAGCAGGAATGGCCAGGTTAGAAAGAGCCACAGCAAGAGCCAAGCTCTGCATCCCCAGAGCATCTCGATGGCCCCCTTCTCCCTAGTAATCCTGGACAAGCCTTCAGGGGGAGCTGGTTTCTGGCCTATTCCGTCTGCTCCCCACCCCAGACAAGAGGGGCTCAGGCCAATCCCTGTAGGTGGGGCACAGGAGACAGACGGGGTAGACAGGGAGCCCAGGTGAGCAAGGAAGTGCTGAGAGACCAGCAGGAAAATGAAGCCAAGTGAGGCAGCGTCAGGCCTGGGCCAAGGTAGCACTTTCAGAAGACAGATTAGATTAGGTAAAGAAAGACTCAAAGCAGACAGTGCAGGCAGGGCTGCCCAAGATTCCCGCAGCAGAAGCCAAGGCCCTCGGTCACTCCTTAGGCCCTGGGGACTCGTGCCTGAGCAGGGAGATGGCTAAGACGCCAGCCTGGCTTGGAAACTCTCCTTGCACTACGGGACAGGCCACCGCAGCCTCCCAGAATGTGGCCTCACCAAGGAGCCTTTGCAGCAGGCCCAAAGGTGGCCAAAAAACAGGAAGCAGATTCAGGGACACCTCAGAGGTCAGAAGAGATGGCTCTGGGGGCTCATTTATATGGTGACAATAAAGTCCAACTCCCCCAGGTCTCTGAGGTCCTTCCCACCGTGCTCAAGACCCTTCCCAGCCTCTCCCCACAAGTGCCTCTGACAGTCCAGCCACAAGAAACCTCCCACTGTCCCCAGACAAGCAGGACCCATTTCTCCCTCTGAGACCTGGCACAGGTCGGTGCTTCTGGCTGGGGAAGTCAGGGAAGGCTTCACAGACCAGGTGATGTCTATGCCAGGTGCTGGAGAGGTGAGCAAAGGTGTAGGGGAAAGGCATCTAACAGCCCAGATCCCCCTCTTGCACGTGCACAGAGCATTCATTGCAGCCACCTCTCGACTGTACTATCACAAGCCCCCATAATGGCGGAGGTGCGGCCTCTCCAGCGCCCAGTAGGAACTCCAATCAATGTGCAGGCTGCGTAGCTTGGGCAAGTTGCCCAGCATTGAGAAGTGCAGTCGTGCTAGCTGCGAGCCACATGCAACTGCTGATCCAGAACTATGTTTGACCTACAAAACTAGCAATTTCATATGTTCCAACCTAATAGCCTCTCTGTGACTCTGTAAATGGGGTTAATAGCAGTACCACTCTCCCTGGATTGTTGGGGAGATTAAATGAATTAACACCTGTGTGAACACCTGCGCTGCAGCCTGGCACGCAGCCAGCAGGTGATAACAATAGCCGACATTGCACAGCACCTACTATGTTCCAGCAGTGTCCGAGTGCACTGCCTGGGGAAACCACCAGCTCATCCAGCCATTGGCCATAAGTCCTGCTCTTATCCCCACTTCCCAGAGGAGGAAGGGGAGCCACAGAGAGGCAAAACACTCGCCTGAATTTACAC